AGAATTAGTGGAGAACTCTACCCTCTCTTTCTGAAGGCACTGTTTGGCCATTTAATAGTGAATCAAGTGGCAGAACAAAACAGTTGATATAATTTGATCCTAAATGGTATACAGCATCAGATGCTGTTGATTTAGGAAGAACACTTCACACAAATGGGGGCTCTGCCGCTCTGGTTTCTGCTTGAGCCATTCCATTTGGTATATCTGACTCCAGCTTTTGTCCTAAGCTTGGATAAAAGTGGGACCAATACTATTCAGTTAAAAATTATGAATTGATTATTGGTAATCAATGAACTATCTTCCTTTTGCAGGCCTGAAGAATCCAATTACCTTGATGAGCCATGTTACACCAGTGATGGCCATAGCCACGATGATACTATCTCTATTACTGGATCCTTGGAGTGAATTTCAAAAGAATTCATATTTCGATAACCCTTGGCATGTCATGCGCAGTTTCTTACTTATGCTTATCGGAGGATCCTTAGCTTTTTTCATGGTAACGAGTTTTACATGATCTGGGACATGTACTTTCAGTAATTATCGGATATTTCATGGTCTTTTGATTCTAACTGCAGGTGTTAACAGAGTATATACTTATTTCAGCAACAAGTGCCATAACCGTGACGATAGCTGGGGTAGTAAAAGAAGCTGTAACCATTTTGGTAATATTTAAAATTGATCCTTTCTAAAGTTATCCTCCTATTTATTTTCTTGCTTTGCTGTGGAATCTGGATTTTGTGAACTGCTTGTCAACCATGAACTACACTTCATCTGAAACAAACATCAGCTTGATACACTTGGTTGACAATTGAGTGGCTCATGGTAGAGAAGCTAACAAGTCTTGAACAGTAAAAAACTGGAAGCAGTTCATTGTTTGTGCATACAAATCATTCAAAGAAAGAAAGAAAGGAAAAACCCCAACAAGTACCTTCGATTTTTGGTAGACAATGTTAGATGGAAGCTATAAAGTATCAGCAGAGTTACGTCCAGGCTAAACACATTAGTTGTCTGTTAACACTAGCATGAAAAAGTTTGATAACCCCAAATATTAGGAAATAGGCTGTATGGAATTCCTAGGCTCCATGTAATTTATAATTACATGAATTTAGTTTCTAATGGCTCTTATGAAGGATCTATTTACCTTGGTCTTTCAGGTTGCGGTATTTTATTTCCATGATGAATTTACTTGGTTGAAAGGGTTTGGTCTTTTCACCATTATGGTTGGTGTTAGCTTGTTCAATTGGTACAAGTAAGTACTCCTTTCCAAGATCAACTCCTGCACAGCACAATGAGATTTCAAAGTCCTTAATTCCTACAAGCAAAACTTTTGCTCACCCCAGGCTAAGAGGGAAATGCCAAACAGATAAACTGAAACATCTTCCCTTAACATTTGGTCAAGTTAAAACTATCATTTTTTTTCTTGTGGGAAGTTATTGCCTGCATTTTAGTCCCAGGGAGTAATATCAGAGATGTTTATTTGTTCAGAATTAACATTGTAACCATCAAGAATAGCTCGACTCAGGTTAAAATGCTAAACATAAACTGAACTTTTCCGTCAATAGTCAAGTTATAGCCTGCATTGTAGTCTGAGTAGGTAATGGTAGATGGTTTATGCGGTGTTGATTGTTTAGAATTTTAAAATATAACTGCTCAGAGAAGCGTAGCATAGATATCGTACTAACCAGTGGTCGTGGATGCTGAAATAAGTGAACGATAAAGTTAATCTCTTATGGCTAGTTGAATTATAGTAGTTGAAGGACTACTACAGACAATAGGTCCCAAAGAGGAAAGATCAAGATACTCTGTCAGGGCTGCCACAGATAAAGCTCTCACTAAATCTTGAATCCATGTAAGCTCATCCATTGCTCCCCTCCCTCACTGTAAAGCTTGTTAGCCCACCGTTTTGGGATGAGGGCAAAAAGGTGAGCAGCAAGATTGGCAATCAAGTTGTTATGCAGTCAATTGTATTTCCAAAATAAAGTATTAGCTCCATTACCAGTGGTCACAATCGCTATTGAGAACAGTGCAGTCACATTAGTGATTCTGTACCAGTAGTTGCATGTACACAAATTTATAGGTTCATTTACATCAAGCAATTTCCAAAAAAAGAAAGAAAAGCAAAGGATACCCAAACCTGTAATGTCATAAAAAGTTTCATTTTCTTGATATTGTTGTAAACTTACTGTTGTGCATTTGAGTAACTTTTGGATGCATTGTGAACATATTAACATACTACTTCCTCTGATCATAACTAATAAGTAGCTAAACTCACTGGACACCATATAATGAAGTTACCTTGTCATGGTGTAACAATATTTCGTCTCTAATCACAGGTATGAGAAATTCAAAAGGGGCCAGACAAATGAGGATGACGTCAACTCACCTCCATTTACTGGTGATGTCAAGTACATTATTCTAGACGACTTGGAATATCAGGATGAATTTGAGGAGGCAGATACGTAATTTTGTAATACAGTGACTTCTAACTGCCACTGGTAAGAATAAAAGAAAGGAAGACCCCCCCCCCATCAAGCAATGTTCCCTCATTCTATTACTAAATTTTTATGTGTGTCGAAGTAATAGATAAATAGAATAACAATTTTAAAATATCTGACTATGGTTCCCATAGCCTTTGGTTTCACAATGCTTGAGTGTAAACATTTTCACTTCCTACCCTATCTGTCTTTATGATAGAGGTGATAGTTAAAGGGGAGATATTTGATTCGTTTTTCCTATATATAGTATTATTATATCTGAAAGCCCCATGGTCCTGCATTTTCTTACTGGATATTTGGACTTCCATTGTGCTCTGACTTCGGAATATCATGTTGACAGTTGACATATGGCAGTGATATTTTAAAAGATTAATGAGCTCATACTATTTTATCTCAATATTTCTCTATTATTCTATAACCAATGTATTGAGGATTTAACCTTTCTTGTTTGGGCAGGCTTGTTCATGCCTGAACCTATTGATGCCTGCCTATTGAAATAGTAGTTACCTATGGAGGTTTTCTCTGGAAAACATGCATGAAGAACACACCCAAGGCTAGGTGTGATTATACTATGCACACCAAAATCTGGTGTGATATTTGTGAGCTATGTTTGTCACGATGGATGTTCAATTCTCATCTTGATTGAACAGTCAGGCTAACTACACTGTCAAGCAAAGAGCTAACGCCATCGGATCAGAATTCCCATTTTAAGAAGATTAGCAGTGATTACATATTGATATGCATGCTTATAGTGGGAACTGCTGAGAATGGTGGACATCTGTATATTTGTTATTCTCTTTGCGTTAGTGCGCTATGCACAAATTCATTCTTGAACCTCCACTTTTTTTGTGCCGAGGTGTATTCATTCTATATATAGGTCTGTTTGTAAAAGTAACCAGAGGATACCCCACACGTGCTGTTTTCCTTGAAACCTTAGGGAGCGGCGTTTGTTTTTCTGTAGACTGTTTCGGGGTACCGAATGTGTTGTGGTTATTTGATTGGGAACTGGTTATAAGAACAGCAGGATAGATTGGCTAACTTGCCCTCCGGAGGCTCTGAGCTGCTGAATTCTGAATCTTCTCAGCCACTGGATTTCATTTATGCCGCGAAGTAAAGGCGCCCAGTTGGAATAATTGCCAAAATTTCTCTTCGGAGAGTTCGCAAAAAAAAAGTTGCTTCAGGTTGTTCTACCTTAGGCCTGAGTTTTTATTTTTGGGTTTTTCTCGCTCTTGATTTTCACTCTCCGCTCTACCGTGGTTTGCGATCAAAATTTGTTATATCAAAGATTTGGCAAGCCAAAAGTTAAGTAAAAAATTTACCATAGATTTGACAAACAAGTGTGAAAGGTTAGTAGGTTTTGGTAGCAAACCAAATAATGGTTTGGAAGCCAACCAATCGTGCCCTAATGTTTGAGTGAAGGAATAAGACTCCTGGGCAGCAGCTACACTATCCTATTTTAGTGCCGAGGATGTAAACAAACACATTGTATAACTGAGATGACTTAGCCTTTAGCTGAGCATCTTCAAGAGTCTTTCTTAAACTCTATCTCTAACTTATCATTTGAAGAGCCATTTAAATAAAAATCACTCTATATCTTTCCATACTTCTAACAACTTTTTTATATCTTATGCATACAGTAGAGTTCAATCCTGCTCTCCATCTTTGACTAGCGAGACATCAAGAATAGAGGATAACGACATTTCAAGATCTAACTGAAGAATTAGCACACGACTCCTTTTCCAGACTTCTGTTTTCTTTGGTGTTGTGTCCACCGGTTTTGCATGGGTGAGCCTCAACAAGCGATCCCGTTTCCTTGCAACAGAATTAGCAGCTTCCTGTACAGTATATATCAGAATGTCAAAGGTTCTTGTAACCAATCATATTTGCAGATAATCTATCTGAAAGAGTTATTCAAAACATACTTCTTATCAGGACAATTAGGGAGTTATTTAGGTGAGAGAACAAAAAATATTGTATATGGATATACGTGATCGTCTAGAGGTAGCACCAATTGAAGAAAAGTTTGTCCAACATCGGTTGAGGTGGTTTGGCCATGTCCAAAGGAGACCTCCAGAGGCACCAGTGCATTGTAGAGTCCTAAGCCAAGCTAATAATATGAGGAGAGGTAGAGGAAGACCGAAATTGACACGGGAAGAGGCAATAAAAAGATATTTGAAAGCTTAGGATATATCTAGAGATCTATGTTTGAATAGGAATACTTGAAAAGCAGCTATTGAAGTACCTAAACCATGACTTGGGGGCTTGGTGGGTTTCAACTCTAGTCTACCCCAACTTACTTGGGACTGAAAAGCTATGTTGTTGTTGTTTTTCTTTTTTAAATATACATTATGTCTAGATACATAGTAAAAACTACGAATCTAGAAAAACAAAAACAACTTAGATTTGGAAAGGAGGAAGTATGCTGAATAGTTTGTCAACAAGCATTGCTAAGCCACCATTGCACAAGGAGCAAAGCAGTCGAATATAGCAATGAAAAGCAAAATATCAACACTTGACAACTGAAGCTAACTGAACCAGTTCATTATAACACACTTAATTTTTGAAAATATGCTTGCATTTATGTTGTCATATTTCTTCCATGTTTTCCAGCAAGGAACATTGTAGTATCCTTAAAATCATGTACTGTATTATTGTTCAAATTTTGCTCTATGGATACTATATAAGAAGATATTGGGAAATCGTACATCACATCAGAAAACTTGGGACGCAACGGAGCTAGGTTTCCAGCACCAAATAAAAAAAATGGCCACCACAAACCTTTTCAGGAATCTTCTCACTGTTATCTAGTTCAATAGCCTCTTTATCACCATCGGTAATTTTAGAGCCTTCCACCCCTGTATCAGCATCCTCCTAAAATGAACAGCCAATTCAGGTTAGCTAGCCACAAATCTCATCAGGAATCAACAAGCATTTGACAAATTTGCAAACAACTGTTGTATCCTCATCATTGAAATATGACCAAGCAGTCAATGCCATATGCAGCATTTTCACTTTATCAGTTCCATACTTGATTCACCAATGTCATATAAGAAGAGGCAATGAAGTCATATATGTCATCTAAGACTTGGGCAAACAGCAGTAGAGATGCACATTGCACAACGGAGCATATTCGTTTGACAGCAAATAATCAAAACTGACAACACAAACCTTTTGACAAGCCTCTTTACTTCTCTCTAGTTCATTAGCATTTTCATCACCATCAGTACTCGAGTATTCCATCCTGTTCTCGCGATCCTCCTAAATCAACAGCCAAATCAGATTAGCAGAAAAGAAAGAGCCAACAACTTTGCATATAGCTCTTGCATCTTTATAACTCAAATATGACCAGGTAGCCAACGTCATATAATTACCCTAGTTCAAAGCATAATCAACCAATGCCATATAAATATATAATAGGAGACAAGGAAGTCATATATAACATCAAAGACTTGGGAAACAGTAGTAGAAATTCGCATTGCACAGCAGCGCATATATTTTAGCAATAGATAATCAGAATTGGAAGCAGAAACCTTTTCAGCATACTCTTCATTGCTCTCTATTTCACTGCCCTCTTCATCACCATCAGTAGCTGGGTCTGGCATCTCTGTCTCAATGTCCTCCTGTCATCAACTAAATCAGATTAGCTAACCAGAAATCACATCGACAACTCTGCTAGCAACTGTTGCATAATCGTCGTTTGAAGAGGTCATTGTCCCCGCCCACCTTATTACTATCCTCCTAAAATCATCAGCCAAATGAAATTAACAAACCACTGAACAATATGTACACCTCTTCATCCTCACTCTCTTCATCCTCATCAATCGAATAGCTATCATCATCAGTCGAGAAGCCATTATTCTCCCCAGCACCATCATTCTCCTAATGCCAGCAATCAAATCCGATCAAGCAAGCAGTTAAAGCTAAAAATCTCAACGGCAAGCTCAAATGATTTGACAAGCCGAGAACCTTGGCGTGTTGAACACCGGCCGTGGCCCGGGGATCGATCACGACGCGAGGCAGGGCCAGTTTCTCGATATCCCACCCGAGCATTCGGCAGACGACAGCGGCGAGCGCGCGGTGCTTGCGTTCTTTGCGGCGGAGGACGCGGTAGAGCGTGAGGTGCTCGCGTTCTTGGCGGCGGTCGAGTTCTTCGCGGCGGGCGGAGCGGGACTGGATCGGAGCGGGGGCGGGGGCGGGGGCGTGAGGGCCGCGGCGCCAGAGGGAGTGGAGGTAGAGGACCTCCTCGGCGAGGCGACGGTCGCGTTCTCCGGCAGAGAGGCGGTGCGCACCCTTGCGCGGCATTGCTGGTTTGTTTTTGCTTGGATTGGAAGTCGCGCGAGCAGGCGGCGACGCGATGGTGTTCGTTCGGTTGCCGCGGCGGCGAGCTGGCGACGATTCCTGTTCGTTTGAGTGCGGCGTGACTCGTGAGTGTCTCCGCCGTCGAAGGCCCCGTCAGAAGTCTGTGACGCCGCAGTGTCCACCACGCCACCGGCAGAGCAAAGGAAGCAGTGAAGCTAGGGACAGCGTAGGGATCTTCTCCACGACCTTGGAACCGCCGCCCGCCTAGGCGGAGCCAGGACTTCATATCAGGGTATTCCATGTAAAAAAAAAATTCAATGCAAATATGAGTAATAAGCAAAGTACAATATGCAATAGTAATAAGTAAAGTGCAAATATGCTAGCACCCTTCTTCTTCATCTAATTACAAATACAATGCAAAAAAAAAAATCTTTATTCTCATTTCTTCGAGCCGAAGCTGGGATGGATGTAATTCAGCGGTATCGGGATTTTGGTAACCCTTCTAACTGTAGAAGAGGGAGGATGATAATAAGAAGATGGAATAACTCACCAACTAGGATCGATCATTGGGAGAGAGTTTGTGAGTTGTGGCGGGGGAGATAAGCTCCTCTGCTGCATGGCCGCCATCCTTGGCTCCTTTTTCTGACGAGCCAGTTTAGCGACGGCGGCTGTGATATTGCATGTCCTGTCAAATAGGGGGCGGATGCTTGTATAGGTATGATTGAGCAGAGTAGGAGGAGGCGAGTGTTACGACTTCTTTGAGCATGATAGATTATGGAGAGAGAGAGAGAAGATGTGCCTTCTTTGCGTGCCACCACTATTCTTTTGTGCCACCATCGGGCTTAGATGATCGATGGCTCGATCAAAGCGGCGGTATGAGAGCCTGAGCGTGCAAGCGTCGGAGATGTCAATAGGTTTTTCTGGAGTTTATAACTTTGTGGGCTGCTACCGCTAGTTGTTCTATTGGGCTTGTGGGCCATATTTGCAACATCATATATACCAACATGCTACATCATTATACATTTGTATATGTATTTGTTTTTGTTCCCAAAACATGGGTATTCCATGGCATACAGGTGCATACCCCTGGCGTCGCCCATGGCCGCTCGCCCGCCCGAACTTGTACTATTATTTCGTGCCCCAAGTAAATTATTAGATTACCGCAAGTTCTCTCGTGGATGTGGAGGCCTCAGTATCCTGTGCACGCCGTGGTGCACACCGAGCAGAAGAGAATGTTGGTTTGGGGGCTTTGTGCTTGGCCCTGGTCATGAAGCCGCAGTGGTCTCGTCTCATATGAATTCAGCCTCATTGGTGCCGCTCACATGCAATATGTTCGCTTGATGATCGTGGTCGTGGTGCAATACTTACTTCTTATCTATATGATTTTCCTCTCACACCAAACCGATCATGATGTTGGCAGTTTTGAAACCATGGCTGTATAAGCCAACCCATGTATCAAAACAAAGCAGTATGCGATGGACTCCATAGCTGTAGAGCCAGAGCCACGTGTAACCTTTTCAAACGGGCCGAAAGCGTACTACGGCAACACGCTTCCGTGTATCACTATTGCTATAGCAAAATCTATCCGGCGACGCGTCGCGCCGAGCATGGAGCGCGCCCTATAATAATCCATGAGCTCGGTGCGCCCCGCGACCTATGAGCCCATTGACTGCCTTCCACCTCCACCGCCGTTGCAGGAGATGAGCTCACTGACGAGTTTTGGGTTTTAGGGGGCTCCATGGCCAGAGGCCTTAAAGGGGGAGGGGGCCCGATGGCGGCTCTCGGTCCGGTGGTGGTGGCTAGGTTGAGGACGGCGAGCGAGAGGGGGCGCCGCACGGGTGGGCGGTGGAAGACAACCGATTGGGAAGAGCTCGTGGCGAGGGTGAAGGTTGCATGCCATCCTCCTCTATTTGTGATTCGATAATGCTCAATCGCGGGTGTCCATCCCACACCTGGACACCGGACGCTACGTGGTCCACATATTTTTTTTACCACACAAATATTTGATACTCCCGTCGGTGACCATTTAGACTTATCCTCTCCGGTTTCATCTTGTCTCTCTCTCTCTCTCTCTGTCTTTCCATTCAAAGCAACAGGGAGAGAAAGATGTCATGGAGCCTATGCATCTCCTCCCATCTCAAACTCGCGCAGCCACCCGCCCCCGTGCGTGTCACGTCCATACCCCACACGCTCTCTACGCGTCGCTGCGCCACCTGCCCGTGCATAATCAGCACCATTCTCCTAAGGCCATTATCGCCGTCCGAATTATGAGGGGGTCGTCCTCAAAAATCATCGGCGGAAATGAACTTGAACAAACCAACAAGCTCCACGTCTTGCCGCCGAGAGAGCCTCGTGTTTGCGGCGATGCTCCAGTGTCGCCGTCATCCACGCATCATCACCCGATGCATTGAACTTTGCTGCTGCTGCCGCCGATAAGCTCTGCACTAGCACCTTCGTGGCATCGAGCTTTGTGCCGATGTCGAGCTCTGCGTCGATGAACCTCGATTCGCCCCCAAGCAGCAAGAAAATTTTGCGCTGAAAATGCATGTTGCAAGCGTATGTTTTAAGTGTTTCAGGTGTTTCATATGCATGTTGAAACTATTTTCATGTGGATGTTGCATATATTGCCATGGCTATACACATATGTTGTAAGTATATTATTCTAAATGTTTCAGACATATGTTACAAGTGTTTTATCTAGATGTTGCATATGTTTCACACATATATTGCAAGTGCTTCATCTGGATGTTGCATATGTTTTACACATATATTGCAAGTGTGTCATATGGATGTTGCATATGTTTTGCAATGGCTACACGCGTGTTTTCCTGGTGTTTCAGATGTATGTTGCAAGTGTTTCATCTAAATGTTGCAAAAGTAAAACTGGTGTTGGACATGTTACGTTGCAGTATGACCCATTTTACGCAGCCACCTAGTGGACCCGCATGCATGCGCGTGCGTGTGGAGGGGGCGTGAGCGGCAGACATGAAAAACGGTGTGAGCGCAGATTGAGACAAGCCCCACATGGGCGCGCACATGTGTAGGAAACAAAAGCGGCACGGGCCCCCATGTGAATGAGGCGCTGGCGTGCGGGCAAGCACAGTAGCATACGTGCGCAGGGGCGCGAGCGTCCGAACGAGAGCCCCTATCTAGACGCTAGCATTTCCCATCGTGGAGGGACGGTGGTGTGTGTGGCGAGGGTGGGTTGGACGACCGGCAGCCGTAGTGCCATCAGCCGAGGTGGTGGGAAGGCAGGGGTGGGACATGAAAGGCCGAGGAGCAAAGATGAGATGGGCGAGGAAGAACAGTTGAAACCTCGACCTGTCACGCATTAGCGCACTCTATTGCCATCTGTTCATTCCTGCCCAGTGTATCCTCTGAAAGGAGAAGAGATCTGATTGCAAATGGTCGCAGCAAAAAGTAGCACAAGAGCAGGGGAGGGGTTGACAAAGGCCATGTTCGCTTGTCTTATGAGCCGTACTATTTTAGCGAACCAACATTGTTTTTCTCTCACAACAAATCAGCGAACAATACTTTTAGCCATAGCTTTTCAGCAAAACGAACAGGACCAAAATCTCAAAATAGGTCAAGATTTCAATGATTGCACAAAGTTACGCAGGTATCAATCAAATAACAGAACAAGTGATCTAGCATTGTGAGACAAACATGTCCAAGTTCGTTCATAAACATGGCGCTTCTACAATTCATGGTTCATTGATACATGCGCCTTCACTCAGGGTTTTCTCAACAACAGGTTTAAGCAGAAGCAGTAGGTGCGTCGGTCATTTCCTGTTCAACCGGAGTTTTCTGAACCGGGTAGTAGTGGTAGTGCAGCTCCCCGACATCATCCCCAGAAAGCTTCGTCCAACCATCAGGGCCAACGTGATAAACTGTAATTCAAACAAGTAATATCAGCCAAAGCCCCACCCGGGTATATAAATATCACAATGGATTTGATTTGACAAAAATCAATAAGCAATCAATATGCCACTAGCACGGTCAACAGGCAATGCCAGAAAGGAGTACTGAGCAAACAAAGGCAGCAGGATACCCCATGACAATTTCAGGTTAGCAAAGAGCTACAAATGATTGTTTCTATAATAAGAACTGAATTACCAGTTTACCGGGTTCGACAAAACCTAAACAAGCAAGGTGCTTAGCACAACATAGTCAGATTCAGAATTTCTTCAAGATATGTAGTTGCAACATAAGACCCCATGCACATTATCAAAAGGACATCTTGGCATTATGTTCATATTCTTAAGAATGTTCATTTTTGTTACTGGTCAAATAGCAATTTAGATATATCTAATATCTGTAGTCAGATTAACTATGGTGACATAAGAAATAAAACCATATAAAACATAAATAAACATAATAAAGTAGACTTAAACATACCACTAACGCAACCACCACTTGCTGCATCACGGAATGTTGCCCCATAAATAGCCCGTCGCGCTAATTCGGCAGCTTCCTTAACTGACATGTTGAAGCGGTAGCTGAAAAGTGGAGGTAAGGACATTGTTCAACTCAAACTTAATCAGAGAACACAACAAAGCAACACATCATCAGATGATAAAAAGAGCCTACCCATCGTCCAAAACACCATAAGCATAGAGGGAACCAGAGCCAACAGAGAACTTGTTTCCCACAAGCCTAGCACCCTCACTATCAACATAGTACAAGCCAGGGCCCTGGATCAAGAGAAGAATTGAAGTTCAAGAAAAAGACTGTCATTATGCATAAGTCATACTCCCTCCATCCCTTAAAAGAGTTCGTTCTGGTGGCTGTTCATGTTTTCACAAGGGAGTTCGTTTCAAGTATACCACCGTCAGTTTAGACGGCTTTGCCCTTCGGCCTCTTCGTTTCTAGAGCCGTCATTAACTCGCAGGAAATTAACGCTAGAGCCGCTCGCGCTGCAAGACGCCGAAGGACATGGAGGAGAGGTAGATCACGCCGGTGCCGGAGTCTATCCCGTCGGATTCGCATCGGAGGAGATGGCGTCGGAAGGTCACGTCGCGGCGGAGGTCGATCGCGCCGGTTCAGAGATGGCGCCGGAGTTTGCGCCGCGTCGCGTCGCGGCGGAGGTCAATCGCGCCGGCGCCAGAGATGGCACCGGAGTTTGCGTTGCGCCGGAGGTCGTGTCTGGCTCGTGTGACTCCATAGCGGCGGTGAGAAGATGCAAGATGGACAACGACGCTGGTGCGGCTACAAGCCCAGGACTAGGACGAAGAGAATCGAGTGGACGAGAAGTTTCTGTTTTTAAAAAAAAATAAAAACAATAAATTATACAGTGCAGCCGGTGGTTTCTGTTCTCATGCAAAAACAAGTGGATGAGAATTTTCAGTTTTTTTTTTCCAAAAAATAAAAAACAATAAATCGTCCAGTGGTTTCTGTTCTCACGCAAAAATCACACAAAAAAAAAGCATGAGCGTGGGTTCAAACCCGCATCGCTCGTCTAAAACTGGGCGTCAGTAGCCGATAGGATGGAGAGTTACATTGATTCATTAGACGCTCAACAGGCTATTTAATAGGGGCAAACAGGGGAAAATAGACTTTAATTAACCACTCCTTGGTATCCTAAATCATGTCCAAAACGAACTTATTTCTGGGATGGAGGGAGTACAACTTAAGACAAACTGAAGGTGTAACCAAAACAAACAACTCACCTTCTCATCCCATCCAGCAATCATTGTACCAATCGACAGTCCCATCCCACGATATGAATAAAGGATGTTAGCCAACAGTTTGGAAGCACCAGCAATAGAGATCCTTCGCTTGTTTGAAAGCTCATGGAGGCGACACTGAAAAGGAGAAACTATGTTAGCCCCACCCCGCAAAGGTGTAATGTGTGAAATAATAATTAAAATGAAGCCAACTTCTGACCTTGTTTCCTAGGGTCCTATGCCAGAATTGGCAATCAGCAGCACCTCCAGCCATTGTCCCCAGCATGTAAGGATTTATTTCAATAATTTTCCTCACGGTTTGTGAGGCTGCATAGTAAAAAAAAAATGTGAGATCATATGAAACAGTATACAATCTTATGTAACAAATGAACATCAGTACAAATTTTCTTAACTAAAAGAACCCAAATCTCTATTGTCTTCCTCCAAACCAATTGGTAAAAGTTGGATGTTAATAATTTCATTTAATCCATCACACACCTAGGGCATAAGAGAAAGATACTTGAACCCAATAAGAAAGTAACATATTTTCCACACACACAAAAAATAGTTCATCTCTACATTATCTTGATTCACTCACTGTTATCATTAAATAATCCTCACCATTCCATAAACAACATTCTATTGAGAAGTACTTCTATTCCTATCCTACAACTAAAAAGCGGCAGCACATAATCAGCATTTCTGAAGAGCCCTCTTAGATGCTTAAAACATGTTCCTCTATTAGAGCCCAAGCAGCAGTCCTGAACCCCTACTGTGTTTATTTGAGATAATATCCATAAGCCACCACAGTTCACACCGGGATATGAAAAGATCAATACTACACCAGCGGATACCACAAATCTCGCATAAAAATCACTTCTTTTCCCAATCCCACATACCAAAAGCAACGCATCGCTAACCGGCTGTCAAAGCCTCCAAATTCCGCACAAAGATCTAACTTTCCTACAGATTCAACCCGACGGAAAACCCTAGTCGGCCCTAAACACAAGTCTGAGAAGAAGGCAAGGTACTTACATATATAACCGCCCATGCTGGCCCTGGAATCAGCGGCAACGATGACGCCCTTGTCGAAGATGAAGGCGAGCGTGGTCGTCCCCTTCTTATTCTTCACCATATTCTTGGTGTCCGCCTGGAACCCGTCGAACTGCGCGGGAGACAAGAGGGAAACCAAGGTTCAGAACGAACGAATCTGGCGGATCGCGGACCCCTTAGCGGAGGAGATCAAAGGTAGGGGAAGAGAGGGAGATGCGGGGGGACGGAGTGCTCACGTCGTCGCAGGTGGGGAGCACCATGGACGGCACGTCGGGGGCGCCGGCGGAGAAGTACGTGTCGTCGCCGGCGGGGAAGGTCGAGTTGCCGAAGTTGGTCTCGAGCGCGGACATGTCCACCTTCATGGCCATGGCGCCGCCGGCGTCGTGTGTGCTGCGGCGAGGCGATGGAACGAGTGAGGCGTTTTCTTCTCACGCTTCGATTTCTACCCTCCTTTCTTTCTTGCGTTAAAAGAAGAACCGGAGTTTTGCCGTGCGGCTGCGCCGGAACTTGTAGAGGGGTTTGGGTTACGCGGGCCTTTGGGGCGGTGTCCGTGTTGGATCCCGAGCTCGAATTGTGTATGGGGTCCGATTGGATGACAGCAATCCGAACCGGTCCGGTTCGCTTTCGGCCTACATGCCAATTAGACAATCTCGCTTCTTCTGTTGCCCAAAAAAAAAAAAGACGATCGGTTGCAAAATTTGATACATGTAATGCTAGTTTTGTATTGAAGAAATGGAACTCCAACATGGCCAAAATTTGAAGAGCTGCCTAGAAGTGGTCAACGTAACCGAGAGTCATTCTCCCCAAAAAAAAAACGAGAGTCAATGTTAACGCTTGGAACTGGAACTTGTTCAGAGCTCAGTTCTTTTTTTTTACTCGAATATAAGCAGCCTGCGTACACAGTAAAAAAATAGAGTACAACACCCCCAAACACCAACTCACAAGTCACAACACCCACACAAGTGCACTAAACCTAAACCCCTAAAGTTTTTTTCCCCCCTGAAACTGATAAGGTAAGGTCCATGTTCAGCTGGCATATCCTTAGTCCTTACCATTTTCATTATTTTTCATTTTTGAAGTGCTAAGAACTGCATTTCTGTTTCAAAACCAAGGATTATGATTCTGGTATATTAAGGTCAAGCATTGTAGCCATGCTTCTTGGGCTTGGGCAGCATGCATACATGTTTCAGGAAGTCTCATCAGGCACAAAAGCAAGTCAACCTCTGATGTAGGTCTAAAAAAGGTAATAAGAAGTTGATCCTTCCATCTATTCTTCTTTTCTTTTTTTTTTCCCGCGACCGTGCCTAAGCTCGTTTTTTCATTAAGAGGAGAGAAGATTTACAACAAATGGTCTTAGACTCTTAGTAAGACAAGGCTTAACAAAACCAACATGATCCCTGCAAACAAAACTAGTTTCACAGGGATCAAACAGAATTCACAATTAGGCAATTACATACAACAATTCACGACCGAACCACTATGAACTCTAAGTGAACAATGAACGTAGTGGCACAGCTAGCCACTAAAGGTGACACCTCTAGGCAACTGAGATCTCTATGCATCTCCCCAATTAAAGCTAACATCTCATTGACGTCCGAAGGTGACAGAGCAGGAGCACCAAAGCATCTGATAATTGAGGCAGCGACATGGTCTATTCTTCTTTTCTTTGTTTGTTTAGGAAAATACCACTGCTTTCTCTCACAGAGATGATTGGTGTGCACATCTCTTCCACCTCCCAATTTTCTCACAGCCCTAGAAATAGTTTAAATAATTAGGTAAAATAAATCAAGTGACCATAGTTGCAGGTATAGATGCTGGTTGAGTAGCTGATCAGTGCTCATGCATTAAGAATGTGATAATGTGGCCAAGCCATGACGACAGAAACTGTGGGCAACATGAAGTGTTTTTGTACTATATAAGATAACTTATAATGAGAAAACGATGTGTACCTTCCGTGGTTTAATGGCTAGCTCATTGTCTTCCATAAGAATGGCCTTCAAACCCAGCAGTTCCAGTACCTTCTGATAACTGATGTTTCAGAAAGGACAGTTATCAGCGCAACAGTAAAGAATAATGTTACAATTTTTGTTTAATAATACAGAAACTGACGGTTCCTTTTTTGTCAAAAATAAAGCAGTCATGTTACCAAGAATAATACAAAGGTTTTTAACTGTAAATAAATTATTACATGATGGCAAGGGGATGGATATTCTTACTCAGCAACTGTATTATTGTAAGGTGGTCCTCCCTCTTGATCACTTATCTGTAATATGATATGAAGCTGTGTAAGAACTTCTCATCATGGTGAGCAAAGCAATGGAATACCATTCAAGAAACTAATGATATCAACCATGCATACAGATTAATTTTGGTGTTCAGTGCTGTACTAATACTTGTATTCAACTTTTCCATGTTTCTGCTTTGTCTTTCCTATTAGAGTTATGACACCGAATGGACAAAACATATTGAGACAGGAGGTATTATGATTTTTATCGTGTCTTTGTCCAATGCCAATCACTTGAGCTGATGCTCACAAAATACAACATGTTCATTCATTACTTTCAGGGCCATGTCACTCTGAAAGCCCTGAAACACACAGGCACATGAGGATGAGACCAATGGAGAATACATAGGTGTCTGGCTGCTTTTGGGTACTTCTGAACTGTCAAGCACTAAAGTCAGACTGAGTAAGCAAAATCCCTGCTCTGAATCTGATTTACACCAATCTATCAACAATGCACCCACTTTTCTCACTTTCCTCATGGCCCATCAATACAGATTCTACAACATTCCCCATATTCTATTCATTGCCTTCAGAATGTATCCTATCAACATAACTTCCAGTGGAGTACATCATATTGTAATCCCGCAAAGATGGAAAGAGCTAACAACACAACCTTCTAGGATTAGAATACATATAACATTAGTTAGGGTAAGTAATTACGAGTAAATGAGATAATTGAAACTTTAAAGTTCAGTTTGAAGAAGAGAGCATCATATGATTTGTACAATGAGTGGAAGCGGGAGGTTCATGCAAAGACACACAGATCAAATATTACATCCTCACCAGATAAATCAAGGTAAGAAGCTCTCCATCTGGTTTTAGAAGCCGATTAACTGTCTCTGCCCAAGTGACCCTCAAGCTCGGGTCAAGTGCACAAAAGAACCTGCACACATCGATACATACAATTTGAGCTGCCATCAAAATAATAAACTGATAATATGTGTGACACCTACATGTAATCAAATATAAGATCGAATTGTTCGCTCGGTATCCACTTGAAGAAATCTTCAGCCAGAAAGGTAAAATAATCTGCATTGGGCAAAGAGGATGACCACTGTACACCAATGGAGAAGACAATCAGACACAATTATCCTAAAATCAGAAGACAGTTTTTATAAGAAAAAAGGTATAGTACAAAAGCTGTATTCCAGTTGTGATGGTTGGAATAATGTATATTTTATTTGCAAACGGACTCAACACCAATTATCTGTAAAGTGAGTTCAATCAAGCCCATACAATCAATATTGATCAAAATTTACAATTTCAGAAGTTCTTTTTTTGGGGGGATTGGGAGGGGAATGTCCTTATTAGTTAAGATATCAAGCAGGCCAAAAGATAGCTTCCCTTAACTGATAAAACATCTTGCTCAGCTACTGGTCATAAGCAAGCATACCTGCTTAGCCTTCTTAACAGCCAAATCAGAAATATCCAAGCCAACAACAAAACGTTCAGGACTTGCCAGAGCAACCACATCGTATCCCTGTTATACAAAAGCAACTCAATCTGGGAAAATAAGCCAAAATCTAATTCCAGTTTGTAATATATCATTATAATGCAAGCAAAGTGGGTTCCTTCTTATAGTATCTTTTTTTTTAACGTAAGTTCCTTCTTATAGTATCGTCATGCACTTTTAGGTTTGTAAAATTGTCTGTTGTGCAATACACTATCACACATACGATCTTCAATGAAAAGGTTGATATTGCTAATGTCTTGTATTATGTCAGTTGGGTACTGTTGTCAAGGCACATCACATCAGCTCTCAATGACTACAAAGGATAAATGGAGAAAACTAGGCACATTCTATGACTGGTGTCCTAAGGTGAAAGTAATAGTCAGATTTTAGTCATGAGCTTGGTTACTGGGGAGAAACTAGGAGGAAAACAATAGTGGTGGAACCATCGGACAGAAGAATGAAATAATTTATCATTCCACATCCAGGAACCAAAGCTCTTCCTTTTGGGAGTGTTCCTGATCTAACAAGATGTTCGATGACAGGTGTTGGCTTTCCCAGATCCCACGGGGTCACACCAAACTCCCAGGACTTCTCCCACCCATCTTATGAACAATAATTTAGAAAAGGCAATTCAGAATCAGAATCAGCAAACTCAGATGCATGATAAAATACAAAGCACAAAGTTGAACTGGAATTTAACAATAAAGTAGACGTATGATGCGTCCGGTTGGTGATTTTGTCTAGCGCACTCATCAAAATGGCGGCCATTGCTCTACAGGAAATAGCATTCTCTGCTTGATCAGCAGTGCAGGAAAGGTTTCAGTTTCATAATACAACATTGCCTTATAAATAGTGTTTTCTTCTGTCCTCACCAATTGCTGTGCCCCAACTTCAACTGAGACAACTTGAGTTTCAGCTTCTCCATTTCACGCTCACAGCAGGAATTTGCTCAAGCGATGCTCCTGTAGCAGCACTGGAGCATCCCCAACAGGCAATAGCTCAACCACACCATCATTTGTCCGTTTGTGATTCGTCCCCATTGTTAGGTCGTTGCTCTGTTCAAGCTCGAACAAACGAAACGAGAAACCCCCAGCTACTCGCCCCAGCCCACTCCACCGATCAGGAACCAACGCACATCGGCACGTGCACGCCCACCCCTCGTACAGGCAACCAGACCAAACGCTAGCGACCACTCCTTCGAATTCATCTCCCCAAACCCTCAACAACCAGCAACGAGAGAGACGATCCATGAGCACACTCACCTGCCGCGTCGCCTGTGAAGAGCTCCCGCAGCCTCCCCACCGCCGGGTTCTCGCCGGGATCCCTTCTGCCACCCGCCGCCCTCGCCGGTGCCGACGACCCCATCGCCCGCCGCGGCCGCGCGCGCGAGGCCAACCACCAGCGCACGGGCTCGCCTACGCGAGGCAGCGCTCTCATACGCAGAGCCGCCAGAGAGGACGGAAAGAGAAAGAGGAGAAATGATTTATATTTCCAAATGAAAAAAATGTCGATACGGATAGGATAACTGTTATACAGACAAAATAAAACAGCAAATTCGTTAGGTCGTGTTTTATTTATAAATCATGATTTATTAGTTAATAAATAGTATTTTTCTCACGCTCAGAACTAATCAATACTAAGCCCTTGTTTAGTTACTTCAGAATACAAATTTTGGTACTATGCAAAAAAAAGATTAAAAGTGCGGTATAATTAAATATGACGAAATTAATAAAATATTTAACATTTTGGCTCCCAATTAGTCAACGATTGGACAATTATTACCAAATACAAACGTAATGCTACAGTATTCTACAGTGCCTACGGGAATCCGGCGGCGCCAACTTTGGGGCCAACTAAACGCGCCCTAACGTGTCCAAACGAACAGGCCGAAAAAGGGAAAAGATATAGAGCTGTCGACTAGTATATCACTCTGCTGTGCAGCTTCCCGTGTCTCTCGTCCCCACTCCACCCGCCCTTCACTCGCAGGCCGCAGGCCACAGCCACATCCCCCCTCCCCCGCCCCCCGCGCAAGGGAAAGGAAGGAAAAAGGGTTCGACGACTTTGCCGGACGCGGCGGCGCATCCCCCATCCCTCCCACCCCACCCCCCATCGCCGCGTCGCATCGCATCGCATGGCTGAGGACGCCGCGGCGGGCTCCCCGCTCCTGGACCTGCCGGAGCCGCTGCTGCTCCACATCCTGGGCTTCCTCACCGACGTGCGGTCGCGGCACCGCGCCGCGCTGGCGTGCCACCGGCTCCTCGCGGCGGAGCGGGCCACGCGCGCCGCGCTCTCGCTGCGCGGGGACCCGCGGTCGGACGCGTTCCTCTACCTCATCAGGCCGTCGTACTGCTTCCCGGCGCTGGAGCGGCTCGACCTCTCGCTGGTGTCGCCGTGGGGCCACCCGTTCCTCTCCTCCGCGGCGCCGTCCGCCGACGCCGTCGCGCCGTTCGTGACGGCGGAGGAGGTCGCGGGCCAGAACGCCTTTATCGCGGCGCGCCTCGCCTACTGCTTCCCCGCCGTGTCCTCGCTCGCCGTCTACTGCCGCGACCCCACCACGCTCGCCAGCCTCACCCCGCACTGGAGGTCCCGCCTCCGCAGTGTCAAGCTCGTGCGCTGGCACCAGCGCCCGCCCGGCCTCGACGCCGGCGCGGATCTCGAGCCGCTCCTCGGGGACTGCCCCGCGCTCAGGGCGCTCGACCTCTCCGAGTTCTACTGCTGGACGGAGGACATCGAGCCGGCGCTTGCGGCGCACCCGGCAGCCGCCGCGGCGCTCACCGAGCTCGACCTCGGCCTCGCGGGCGCCACGGACGGGTTCCACGCCACCGAGCTGGGGGCCATCGCGGGATTCTGCCCCAATCTCCGGAAGCTCGTGGCGCCCTGTGTGTTCAACCCTCGGTACGTTGACTTCGTCAACGACGACGCGCTTCTCACCATCGCCACCAGCTGCCCCAAGCTGGCGATCCTGCGGCTCCGGGAACCTTTTGAGCCGGCGGCTACCGGCCAACGGGAGGACGCGGCAATCACCGTCGCAGGGCTGGTCTCCTTCTTCGCTGCACTACCGGAGCTGGAGGATTTCACGCTTGACCTGCGGCATAATGTGCGGGAGACAGCGCCGGCCATGGAGGCGCTTGCCCGCAGATGCCCACAGATCAAGTTCTTGACGCTGGGGGGCTTCCAGGGGTTGTGCAAGGCATCTTGGCTGCATCTGGACGGCGTTGCTGTCTGTGGTTCGCTGGAGTCTCTATGCATCAAGGGATGTTTGGATCTCACTGACGCCAGCCTTGTCGCCATAGGTCGTGGGTGCGGGAGGCTTGCTAAGTTCGCGATCCATGGCTGTGATTCTGTCACATCAGCTGGGATCAGGAGGCTAGCGACGGCGCTTCGAACCACAATCAAAGAAGTCAGTATCTTGCACTGCCGGCTTCTGGACACAGCAGCATGCCTCACTGCTCTAAGTCCGATCCGTGATCGCATTGAGAGTCTTGAGATCAGCTGTGTCTGGAAGGAAGTTGAACAGCCAGAGAGTGTGGCCAACGGCACAATCGGATGCGGTCATGAAGATGATGATGATCTCGGTGAAGTGACATATGAGTCTGCATCGAAGAAATGTAGGTACATGGAATTGGATGATCTGGTTAGCTGGGAGATGCTACGTTCACTCTCCCTCTGGTTCCCTGCTGGCGAGGTACTCTCCCCACTCATATCTGCCGGCCTTGATAGCTGCCCTGTTCTAGAGGAGATCTCAATTAAAGTGGAGGGTGATTGCCGTGCACGCCCTGGCCCATTCTTTGGCCTGAGTGATCTTGCAGGCTTCCCAGTACTGGCCAAGATGAAATTGGATCTGAGTGAGGCAGTTGGTTATGCTCTTACTGCACCAGCAGGCCAGATGGATCTCTCTCTGTGGGAGCGATTTTATTTGCAAGGTATAGATTCACTAATGACTTTGTATGAGCTGGATTATTGGCCTCCCCAAGACACGGATGTGAACCAGCGTAGCCTGACACTGCCCGCTGTGGGACTCCTCCAGGGCTGCGTTGGACTCAGGAAGCTATTCGTCCATGGCACCACACATGAGCATTTCCTGACCTTCTTCTTGAAGGTGCCAAATTTGAGGGACATGCAGTTACGGGAGGACTACTATCCCGCACCAGAGAGTGATATGATGAACACGGAAATGCGAGCTGAATCTTGGCTCCGGTTCGAGAACCAGCTGAACATCAGGCTAATTGAGGATTAATGGTGAATTTGGTGAACTGTGAGAGCATCAGATGAATACAGAGGTGCTGGTTTCAGATGGAACTGAACCAAGTCGAGTTGATGCGGGGATGGTGCTGTGTGATGGATGAGCTGCTTGTGATCACGGAAGTAGCAAGGATAGCTGGTGTACTGCTGTTGAGGAGAGTCGAAGGCAATGATTTGTCCATCCAACAAATATCGGTGATCTTTTCTAGTTGCTTTTTTTTAATAAGAATGTATAATAAGAGAATTGATGCAGAATTCAGATATTTGCAAGAGTTGCTACGATAAACTAGGATTTGTGGGAATTTTGCAGGGACGCTTTTTTTTTCTCCCTTTTTTTGAGCCGAGTCCAGTTGAACACCGGCAGGGTAAAGTGGCATTGGTCCTGTGAGTTGTAACAATTTACGTGGTTCTGTAAAAAGAAATAAAAAATGTCATTTAGTTGTCATTTCAACGATGCAGATATTAACAAAATAATCTAGTTTAATACCTGGAAGGTAATCATAGAAGCAATCTTCTTAATAAACCACAGAAGCAATCTTCTTAATAAGACATGTTGTGGAGCAGTTTAGAGAGCAAAAAAAAAATAACCCTCACTTGGTTTTCATTAACTTAGAGAAGACTTATGATAAGATATCAAGAAATGTTATGTGGTGGTCTTTGGACAAACATAAAGTCTCATTAAAATACGTGATTCTCATCAAGGACATGTACAATAATGTTGTGATTAGTGTTTGAACAAACGATGGTAACACATATTACTACCCGAATAAAATTGAACTTCATCAAGGGCCAGTCTTAAGCCCGTATCTCTTTGTCTTGGTAATGGATGAGGTTGCAGGAAACATACAAGAGGATATCCATTGTTCTATGTTGTTCGTTGATGATGTAGTATTAGTGGACTAAAGCCAGACGAGAGTAAATAGGAAACTACAGTTATGGCGGCAGACCTTTGAGTCTAAAGGTTTTAGATTGAGCAGAACTAAAACCGAATACATGAGATACGACTTTGGTGGAGTTGTACAGAAGCAGGGAGATGTGAGTTTGGAAGGTCAAATAGTGCATAAGAAGGATACCTTTCGGTATCTGGGATCGATGCTACATAGGGATGAAGCTATTGATGCGGATGTTAGCAATAGAATCAAAGTAGGGTGGATCAAGTGACGACAAGTTTTTGGCATTCACTATCACAAGAGGGTAGCACAAAAACTAAAAGGCAAGTTCTATAGAACGGCGATTAGACCGGCTATGTTGTATGGAGCAGAATGTTGGCCTATAAATATTCGACATGTTCAATAACAGAGTGTTGCAGAGAATGCGTATGTTGTGATGGATTTGCGGTCACACAAGAATGGATCGAGTTCGGAACGATGATATATCGTGATCGCCTAGAGGTAGCACCAATTGAAAAAAGTTTGTTCAACATCGGTTGAGGTGGTTTGATTATGTTAAAAAAAAGACCTCCAGAGGTACCAGTGTATTGTGGAGTCCTAAGCCAAACTAATAATATGAGGAGAGGTAGAGGAAGACCGAAATTAACATAGGGAGAGGTAATAAAAAGATATTTGAAAGTTTGGTATATATTTAGAGATATATGTTTGAATAGGAGTACTTGAAAAGCAGCTATTAAAGTGCTTGAACCATGATTTAAGCTTTTACTATGTTTTAATTCTAGCCTATTCGTAACTTGTTTAGGAGTGAAAAGCTACATTGTTGTTGTTGAGCTGTCTTTCTTATGCTCTGTCTTCGCAGTGCTACCGTAACATAGTGATGAACTGACGATGGTCACGTCCGTCCATCCAGAAAATAAAAAGAGAGTTGATCACATCTAAAATTGATGAATGATCATTACGCAAGAAACATGGCAACTTGATCCCATAAACATGCAGTGGTATGATTGTACTTTTTAAGTACTAGTGTACTACGTATATTGTATCCCTCCCCTAATTATCCCCTCCCCCAATTACAGGTTTGATTTTACGAGATTTAATCAGCTCCTGCTGAACAGTTAAATTTTGCAAGTAAATGGCCCAGGTTTGGCAAGATACTACTACTGGCACGATCAAGCATGACGATGAGTGCATGAGGCTAGTTTAGTGCTACCAGGTTCAACTCCTACTCCAGACTCCAGAGTGACCAGTCCTTGTTTCATTTGTCAGAATGCTCACATTGTTTTTTTCTTCGGCGTGAAGGCATCAAGTTCAACTCCTCCAGACTCCAGAGTGACCAGAATCCTTGTTTCATTTGTCAGAATGCTCATTTTTCTTTTCTTTTGTGAAGGCATCAAGATGCAAGCTTTGAAATGACCGCCAATCTTACCATTTGCTGATTTGTTTCTCCTCCTTGCATGGATATGTGACGAGACCGACGTGCCGAACAAGACCGGCATCCAACACGGAGAGAAAGATCTCGCCACTACCGCGAGCCGCCGTAACGGCACTGCGCCCGGCGCCGTGTCGAGGGCCCGTTTGTTTCGCTAAAAAAAAAATCAAAACACTCTTACGGTTAATTTGTTGTGAGAGAAAAACACTATTTTGATTAAAAAAATAAGTTGAAAAAGACGAATTATAAGAGAAGCGAACAGTGGCCTGGTTCGCTTGTTTTTGTTAGCCGTACTATTTCAGCGAATGAACAGTGTTTTTCTCTCACAATAAATCGAAAAAATTGCAAAAATGACACTCGATAGATTGACTCCTTGATTACGATGACACTCGGGTGGATGACAAGTGGATCCATCTGTGTCTATGAATATGTGTTCAGTGTTAAATCTATAAACGAATGATGTTTCGAGTCCCATTTCAGTACTTTTAATCGTAGCTTTTTAGTAAAGCGAATAGGTCCAATGCCGCGCGATCGCGGCAGGGGTTTCTTCGTCTTTCGTGAGGGCAAATCGGGGCGATTCTTGGTGCTCCTCTTGTCCTAATCCATGAGAGAGGCTTTCCGCCCCGCTGCAGCTGGAGGCCGGCCGGTTCAGTATCGTTCTTGGTTCGTGAAGAATCTCTTGCCCCTAGTTTATAAAGAAAGATTATTAGTAGTAAAAATTTACGGTACGAGTGCCACAACCAGCAGAACAGCTTCCTCCGTCGCCTCTCGTCTTGCGCCACGTCGGCCTCGAGGATCTCTGGCCCCTCTAGAAGGGCAGATTTTAGGGTTTAGATTCTAAAAATTTTGGTGATGCCGTCACATGTGGCTCGAGTAAATTGGGAAAACAAAACGGGTGACAGGGAAACTTTTGAACCGCGCGCGCACTAATTGCCAAAAATGCGAAATCCACCAAAAATGTTTCGTTCTTTGCTGAGAATTCAAAATGACTTTCAGAGATGATTGGTATAGTACTAAATAGTGAAAAAAAATTCAGAGTTATCGCTAAAACTTTCGAACCTATTTATCTTCAGTTGATTTATTTTAAAACGAAAGTGCTATAGTACAATTCCATTTTTAGCCACCTAAACAGGCCCTTAGTAGTTACATAGTTCTGAATTTTACTCGCCTCTCGAATTTGCGCCACGCGACGGCTTTGGTGGCTGGCTGTGGCTCGCGTGATTGGGCGGGTGACAGGGACGCTCGCGCGCATTAAAATGCATCCACCAATGTTTCGTTCTTTCCTGAGAATTCCAAAATGACTTTCAGAGATGATTGGTATAGTCAACAGCGAGTTAAAATTCAGAGTTGTTGCTACAGTATCTTCAGTTGATTTATTTTGGAACTGTAAGTTGATTTATTTTAAAACGCAAGGAGTACAGTGCCATTGCATTTCGCCTTGCTGTTACATCTTTCTGAATTTTACTACTGAATTTGACGTGCTGGTTTCTTGTCAGTACATTCGTGATCCGGAGTGTCGTGGAAGCTAAGCTGGCTGGTGGCAGGAGCAAGGCATGCCCAGGAGAAATGTCACGACTCACGAGCAGGGGTGCGCGGTAGTAGCGGAGGGACTTCGAGCTCTGCTGCTGTTGCATTCTGCCGAAGCCTTGTGTGAAAAGCTGCTCTTTCTTAGGTTAGGTCATCAGATGCTTGTGCGATCGATCAGTGGGGTTCAATTCAGACGACGATGCCAAGTCGTCTTTGCAAAGATAAGGCCGGATAAACTACAAATTAAGCTTATCTGGCGTATAAAACAAAGAGTATAGCCGAGTACGGAGAGCCGGATCGTCAACATATCCAGCTGAGAGCGTGCTCCATCCACATCGATCCCGCGTTGCACACGTAAGGTTTGCTTTGCTCGACGATTGATTTGATGCCGTGGAAATGCATGTCACGTTTGGATACCATGACCCTTGAGCCTGACGAATCCCAGCTCCGATCCAGTCTCCGGTTGGCACGCACGGTCTCGGTCACTCCGTCATCTCCACTCGCCCATGTATTGCCAGCTTGCATGCGTTGTGTGCTCTGCCTACTGCCTAGCACTAGTGTAGTAGTGTACCTCTAGTAGTGGAGCATGACATGGCGGCCTTTCTTTGCCTTTGCGAGCCTTGCCCGAGAGCGTGATCGAGACGACGTGCGTACGAGACGACACATGACCACGCTCTGTTGTGAGTCAGGCGAAGCTTACGGCCCTGTTCACGTGCCTTTAAATCCGGCTTAATCCACTTCTTTTTTATCCGAGACAGTGTTTTTTCTCATAAATTTCTCCAGCGTTCCTCTAAACCATCCAAATTCCTCCAGCCGAACACCCCCTATAAGGCAGAATCAGACCTACTTTTTCAACTATAAAACAATATTTTTTTTCATAATAAATTAGTTCTACAAATCAGTCGCAGCAACAGTAAATCCTATCCAACAGAGTTTATATTATTCCGCTCGCAACTTGGCCACCAGGTGCACGTTTTTGTTTGTTTATTACTAGTACCAATAACAAAAGGACGTCGTCGCCCCTAATGCATGTCAGCTTGCTTGCTTAGCCAGTTAGCCGCCACGACGTGGTTGGGATATTTTAGAACCCCAATCCAAAGCCCATATGCACCGGTTTATCTCATCAATCACAGATGTAAACTTTGTTTA